CGCGAGTTTTATTGTTGTGTTATTGTCTTTACCACATTCTGCTCATTTATTTAATTAATTCAAGTCATTAATTGACTTGATAATGGATCCAGTGGATTTGAAGATGGAGGATAAAATAAGTAAGTAAATGAGGAAACAAAAATTTGTCCGTATTATTCCTTATAAGGATTTATTTAAAAAACCTACAGTGCCGACTCCATATAGCCCGAGTCAGGGACATAGACCCTGACTCAATAAGTCAGAGCCCGCTTCTAATTTTTTTTCCGAATTGACCGACATAATATCACCAACTTCCGCGTTGTGGATGGTTAAAAGTTTGTTAGATAGTTTCACTTTTTCAGCCTCCATATCAAATTTCAGCTCGATATAACGATTTTTAAAAATCAGTATGGGTCACCCCATAGGGTCGCTCCAGATAATAATTTTACCAATATCATATCATAGTCTTTCATTAAAACCCATAAACAACCTCTCCACCAAATTTCAGTTCGATATGATGATTTTTTAAAGTCGGTATGGGTCACCCCATAGGGTCACTCAAGATGAAAATTTTTCCAACTTGAAGTCATTTTTATCTAGTAGGAGCCATTAGCAACCTCTGTACCAAATTTCAGCTCTCTACTCCAGTTTTGAAATTTTGGTGCATAATACCCCACCCACTCCGATGACCCCCACCGGTCAACCGCTGGACCGATTTCGCTCCTCTTCGAACTCGTTTCCTAAATTTGTCCAATATGCATATGGTAAAAATTTCAAGTCAATCGGTTCAGCCGTTTTGGCTCTCTCGTGCCGGACAGACAGACGGACAGACAGACAGACGGACGGACATGACGGTTCTATAAGCCCTGACTCGGGCTAAAAATTGTTATTTACCTCTTTTTCTCAGAAAGTAAATGACGGCCAAATTTCTCGGTTCGAGAATGTGACGCTCTTGTGGAGGCTGTTGGATTGCATTACGACGCAGTGTATAGCAAGTTCAGTTCGAGTTTGACGAACGAACGGAAAACGAGGCTTGGGCACCTCGTCGCCCAAAAAGTCAACGCAGTGACCTTGGCGCGCCCACCTCGTGACCTCGTGGAACTGAAAAAGAAGTTCCGATCATTGAAGTCCACAGTCAAGAAAGTGGAAATAACAAAAATGAAATGAGTGACTGGCGGAGGAACGGCAAACTTGCAAACTTTAGATCGGAAGAACCCAAGAGCAGTTAATACTTTTGATTTAGAAACAAAATTTAGCCTAGAAAATAGTTACGCTAAAGATAAAAGTGGTCCGGAGCACTTTTAAAGACAGTTTAAGACAGTTCTGAGCATATTTTTTCGTAATTGAATTGTAATTTTTGCTTAAGTGTTTTCCTAAGTCTACTTTTAATTGAATCGCAACTTTCGCTCGCTGAGCAAAATCTGTGCTTACGCCTTGCCTATTTACCAATTGAATTCCTCCCCAGGACCTTGGTATCCTTAGTATTCTTCGTATCGTAAAATAACTTACGAAGCACGATTGCTTGACTTTAAGTATCTAGGTAACGTTAGTCTCCCTTAACGGTTGCGACAAATGGTCGAGTTACAAATAAAAAATTCATTTTAAAATAGTTGGTTCAAAAAGGGCGTTTGAGTCTCCAACTACTTTGACCCTTAATTACTTTTGAATGGGCAGACATAGAGACTTAATTCTTGAGGTTGAAATCATCGTAATTTTTAGCTTGATTTTTTAAGCTAAAAATCTCGAGGGTACTATTTAGAGTTCTCAATGGTCCGGATTGGTCCGGATCAGCCCTGATCCGAAACCGGACCGAGGCCCGAAACGACCAATCCGAAACCGGACCGAAAAATTTCCCCTCGGCCCAGAACCGGACCGGGACCGGACCAGGACCGGACCGGTCAATCCGGGCGGACCGAAAAATATAGAATTATAGTATAAAGACCCATAGTACTATTGCTTTCAGACTCTCCATCCACCCAAAAGAGCTTTGGATCAAGCAAGTCCGACGTCGAAAAACGGCGTCCAGGCACGACGTTTAAAAATTATGTTAGCCGAAGCAACCGAATTATCCTATTATTTGAGACCAGTTTATTTTTGGCGTAAAAGTCACTCAACTACCCAAATTCCTGCCACTAATTGAATAATTTGAACGCCAAAATAAAATAAACTGGTGTTAAATAATAGGATAATTCGGCTGACTCGGCTAACATAATTCTTGGACGTCGTGCCTGGACGCCGTTTTTCGACGTCGGACTTGCTTGATCCAAAGCTCTTTTGGGTGGATGGAGAGTCTGAAAGCAATAGTATAGTACCATAATTACACATATAGTACATATATGCAACTATACATGAGACATATATGGTACTTGGTACATACATATATGAATGAATATACTTAAGTATAGCCAGAATGCCAAATGTTTCAGATTTAAATAGGTAGATACATATATCGAATGAGGTCTCATAAGTTTTATCGGCCAGTGTGGTTATACATATAATCTCAGGGCCAATTTTCCTTCTCAACAATTAACAGATCTTTTTAATTTTTAAAATACATTAGCAAGAGTAGGAATTAAAAAAATCCTCCCAAAATCAAGGAGCGTAAAAACTTTAAAACCTAAAAGACATAATTTTTATGGATCATGTGAGAACTTTTGAAAACTACGTAACGTAGAGTTTGAACACACTGAAAATTCATGAGTTAAACGGAAAAAATTCACAAATTCGAGGTCGAAGCATTCAAATTTTCTTGCGCGCCAAAATATTCGGGCGGACCGAAAACCGGCGGTCCGGTCCGGTCCTCGAAAAGCTGATCCGAAACCGGACCGAGGACCGGACCGAAACTTTCGGTCCGGATTGGCGGATGGCCCAATCCGGGACCGAACCGTCGGATTTCGGTCCGGTCCGGGCCAACCCGAAGCCCATTGAGAACACTAGTACTATTTCGAAAATTAAACTTGAAATCTCCAGTGAGCCCGAGTCAAACTCTGTGGTTGTCGGTCAAACCAACCATTTTCCATGAAATTGTAATATACCAAATGCATTTAAACTTGTGGAGTGACATATTTTTGAAAAATCTGTATGGATCAAGCCCTACGGTCTCACCCGTTCTGAAAATTTCAGCTCAATCGGTTCAGCTATTTTGGCTATCGTGTTCCGGAAGGACATGATAAGAACTGACTTAGGCTAAAAAGACAACAATTTTGCGGAGCCTTGTAAGATGGCATTATTCTGAGAGCAGGACTCGTAATGAACGATGTGCATATACATAATTTTGTGATTTATTTTCGGTATATCTGTATAAACCATTACAAAACACGAACTTAATAAACTCGGAAAATTTCCTATTTTAATTCATATTGTTACGATTAGTTTTACGAGATGACAAGACGCAAGACGGACAGACGGACATAACGGGTACATAAGCCCTGATTCGGGCTAAAACCCTGAATTTAGTTGAAATTTTCACCAATGCATAATATGTATGCACGTGCATAATACACATTGTATATTTGACAAAAACAGGCGTAAAGTGCATTAGTAAAATGCATTTGGTACAGTAAAATTCTATGCAAAATGGTCGGTTTGACCGATAACAGCGAGCTTGACTCGGTCTCGTAAAGGCTGCACACTGGGGATTTCAAGTTCAATCTTCGAAATAGTACCCTCGAGATTTTTAGCTTAAAAAATCAAGCTAAAAATTACGATGATTTCATCTTTAAGAATTAAGTCTTTATGTCTGCCCGTTCAAAAGTTATTAAAGGCCAAAGTAGTTGGTGTATTTGTAAGGGACTTTTACACCAACTATTTTAAAAATAATTATTTTATTTGTAACTCGACCATTTGTCGCAACCGTTAAGGGTAACTAGGCATTAAAAGTCAAGCAATCGTGCTTACGAAGCTTACGAGATTTTGTAAGCGTCGTAAGATTTTCTCATCGAAAATCACGTTACTACGCTTACGATTTTTACTAAACCTGACCCCTTGTTTTTTCTTCGTAAACTATTTTACGATACGATGGATACGAAGAAATAATGAATACCCTCACTATAAGTTTACTTTGAGCTTTTGGATATTGATCATTAATTATGTTCAAAGATGTGGGGAGGAGGATGAAGCATATCACGGTCCTATGTCAGCAGCATTCTGATTCAAACGACCAATTGGCAATTTTACCTGTGAATACGACATCGATCAATTGAAAATATAAAAATTCATTTTAAAAAATTTTAAAAATTTGATATTTTCATGCTATTTCTGAATTTTTATAAACCCAAAAAACGATAATTTTTTGAAAATTAAAAGTTTTTTTAAAATGAATTTTTATATTTTCAGGGATGTAATTCTGAACAAAAAATGGGTTTATTTTTTGAAATCGGGTTAAAATTCGTAAAGTTACAGCCTTTTTAAAAATCCGAATTTTGGCTGAAATTTTTTTTGAAAATTCCGCCAAGGGCGTAAACATTCAGGAAAACGAAAAAATACGGGTCCACTTATTTTTGAACGTGAACAATTTAAAATTAGTCCGGTGGATATCGGCGATAACCACCTCACACCTCCTCATTGTTAGATTGCTACTAATCAATTTTTCGGTTTCAGCATGGAATTTTTAGCATTTTCATGTATGACTTGAATATTAAACTTTCTATTTGGTTTACATGTAAAATTTACATGTAATTTTTGTTTACATTGAAAATAAAAAATGAAATTTTAACTTAAAAGTCCAAGTCATATACGAAAAGACGTAAAATTTCATGCTAAATTCTAACAGTTTTACTCTAATATGTATTTTGAAGAAATTTGTTTCAACCCGCCCCAAATTTTATAAAAACCTAGAAAACCCTACAAAAAGTTACTGAAATAAAAAACAACGGTTTTTCAATAAAGAAAACAGTGGTTTTCGAACCGAATGGCGACCTCGGACGCCTATCAGAAGATCGATTCGTCGACTAAAGTGAGACTGATGAACGAAACATGGGGCATGTTGGCATAGTCACTCGATCCGAAAGGAACAACCAGTACCATCTGCAAAACTGACAGCAAAACTCAACTTTTCTCCAACAATTATCAACTTCACTGCTGTTGCTGCCGTCCAAATTATTTTGTGCTCCTCTGTCCTCGGTTAAATGAAAAGTCAATACAGTGCAGCAGATATCGAATTATCTTGATAAGCTCGTGTGCGGTAAGTACTTGATTTATTATTACTACTACTCAACCTGTCCCCTGTTTGATGATTGTTCTCAAATTCCAAGTTATTATCGAACCAGATCTAATGAAGGATTTTTCTAATCCTACTTTCAACTTTTAAATAATTATTGATAATTTATTTGTTGATTAACAATGGCCCTTTTATTTTAGTATATCTTAATTTTGTTGTTTGTACCATCCTTACTGAATTGGAATTGAATGAAAAATATACTTATTCGATGATGATGGTTGGTTTTGGTTGGTTATGTTTGATGCTCTTACAACTTTTAATTGATCGTTTTTCTAGTTTTGAGAAAGTCAAATGGTTCAGAAAACTGTGACGCAAATCCGACCTGGGCGTCGTTTTCAAGGACAAACAATGGTAAACACTGATCAGAACGATCTTCAATTGGATTCTTCAACAATTCTTCCACACAACCTTGGTGTGGTAAGTTTTCAACAATAATCTAAGCTGGATTCTAGATTATTCGTAATAATAAGCAGAAGTCAGCTAATCGCCCCAACTGATTTTTTTATATATTTTTTCAGATGACCTATGCGGAGTATTATAAGGCTGGATTACGACGAAAGTCCGGCTACAATTCGGTTTCCAATTTTGATCGTACGTTTGTGGAATTGGTATTCATTGATGAAGAAATAAGGTTACGACTGGAAAAGGCTGATGATGATGAAGAAGAAAAGAATGCAGTCGCTGCTGTGACAGATGAAGTAGCACCGGAATTAGCGCAACCAGAGATTCAAGACACCGAACTGAATGACGATGTCTCTGTTCCTATTCCTGCAGCGACGAATGATAATGTCCCTGATCCTGACCCTCCTGCTCCTACAATTACAACTGAGATTCCTGCTTCATCAGAAAACGATGTTGCGGACAGCTCTGCTGAGGAAACGATTCTAGATTTGACTACCAAAGCTAATGCAATCCAGGAATATAATTTTTGCCCGTTTTAAAAAGCTGAGCTTCAATTGAATGAATACTTATCTGCTTGATCCATTTCAATCTTGTTTAATTCAATAATTGATTCACAATTCTATTGTCAACTTAAATTTTTTACTGCTATATGCAGCAGGTATATTAAATTGTTGTCTTTCTAAGTAATTGGTGAATATTTTTTGTAAACACATTGTGTAAATGCATGGTCCATATTCTACTGCTTAAATTTTGCACAAAAATATTTTTGATATGCATTTAGCACTTTTGAATTTATACTTAATGCAGTTAATGTATGAAGTGTGTGTGCATTAAGTTTTTCCATCTCGCCCGGAGTTAGGTCATTGGCTTATCATCGTATGCTTTTAGTTCCATTTAGTCCCTTTGCACTCGCATCGGAAACCAAATCATGATGATAATTAATGGAATATTCACTTCTGATCTGATGAATAAGAGTACTATACATAGTAGGCAGCCATTGCGGATTAATTCCACCCACATAGACCACTTAGCCATAAATAGTAACAGAAGGAAAGAATACGTATGTATTGTATATGAGTGACGCCTGATGCGCCAGAAAACCCTCTGGGGCTGGGGAACTTTTGTTTGTTTGAGGTAAAAACAGTGAATTTGATGCCAGCTCAACCAGCAACACCAAATTAATTGGTGCTTACCTTTTGCGCCTACTTGTTTTTATTCTTATTGCTTGCAAGTCAGTCTACTTCTTGAACTCGGGCTTGTGCTCATCATTGTCTTTTACGAAGAGAATTGTGAAGACGCGTTGGATTTACTTTGTTGCGCTTTTTGTCATTTCGTGAATCTAAAGAAAATGCTACATATTTAATTGTCACCAACTCTTAATGTGCGAAGTTCACGACCAGGTGAAGACAAACCACACAAACAAGAGAGTGAAAAGTGTGACTGAAACTACACAGTAGTAGGTTTCATGCATTTACATGCATCCCTTATCATGGGAATCGCATTGTCTGATTTTCCACTAATTTGCATAGATTTGTGCAATGCTCAAATCTGTCAATTGTTCTAATTTCTATATGTGTGAGTGAGTGTTAAGCGTAAATGGGCTACAGAAATCATCCAACCAAAAGACCGAATGTGTGGGTTATCACATTTATCGCCACCATCTTATCCCAACGTCGAATCAGTATCAGTCATTGTTTGTCTTGTCTGACATTTTTTACCACGCTTCTTCACTCACCACCAGCTACGAAATACGCAGAATGTTTTACCAATAATTGGATGCTAATCCATAACCCTATCCCAATTATAAACAGTTTTATTTAACAATTAGGTCGAACTGAACTGAAATCGTTGGATAATGCATATCGGATCGATACATATATGAATCTACCTATGTAATCATAATACATGCTCACGCGACGCAGGGAATTGTTGGTTAACGTGATAGGGCGTCAACCTAAGCGATTTGAGACAATTATACATTTAGGCTGTGTGACTGTGACTGACAACTAGCCTTTGAACGGTTGATTTTGTTTGGTTGGACGGAATATATCTAGACGTGTGTATGTTTAGTTAACAATTAGCCATTGTTATCATCACAGTAACTCGTGTAAGTTAATGCAGACTGGGTATATTCACCTATTGTTGTGCCGAAGTGGTCCTGCTATGGATCAACTTTGATTTAATTAATCCGGACTCTTAAGGAAATGCAAGATGGCACTAATCAATGCAAACGAGAGGGAAAGCCGTACCACTTATTGCGACAATAATGAAAACGAACAGTTGGACTTTGAAGGCTTTACTGAGTTTCTTGGAGAAATTTCAGGCTATTCTCTTCATTGTCAGAAGCAAAAGGAGATTTATGTATGTCAACCTTTTTTAATTGAGAACGACTTCAAGGTTTCGAAGCACTGTATCCTTAACTAGAAGTGTTTCGAATTATGAATCATTGATTATGACAGAATTGTGTATGCAATATGTGATATTTATGATACGCTCACAATACCCAATTACAATTCATTAGTCATTGTTACATTCCTGAGTTCTGTTACGCATTTCGATATGGTGTTCGGGTCACAACATTATGATGCTTCTGAAGCAAGAAATTAAGAAATTAAGATTTTAAACTCGGATTTTTAATTACCTAAAGAAATGAATGGATTTGATGTTTGTTTTGCAGTATGGTGGTGGATTTCCCCAATTGTCAAGGATATTCCCTCCGATCTCATCATCAAGTTCAACCACATCCTCCACGGCTTCAGATATCCATGTGACACGCAAATTCAGATTTCATAGGAAATTATGCGCTTGCATCGCTGTCGCCGTGTTATTCGTTGGGATTGGAGCCTGTGTTGGGATTTACCTTGGATGTAAGTAGATTCTTCGAAACCCTTCACTCAATAATTTATTCAAAATTTATAATGCAAAACATTTTGTGAAGCCAGAGAAATACCCATTGCGACATTACAGTATATATACGAATATTCTGCTTAAAGTTACCATTATATACGCTATAGTAAAGTTATTGGCATTTTATCACCGTCATTTGAATTTATACTGAATCAAAGATGCGCTAATTACATGAGTCCGTGGCATCATGGCTTACAAACTACTGTTGGACCCACAATTAGCGTCCCTTAGTATTTTTAGTATCCAAAAATGCACTTCTTTAATTTGTGGTCTTAAAAAAATAGTCTCAGACTGTCTCGTTTAAAATAAATATATGCAACAGGTATTATTGTTAAACCTTGAAATAGTGCAATGCCACTGACACAAATATTTTGCAACATATTGCCAAAAGTAAGTTATTCTTTGCATCTTTGTTGAACCTGATTACTTGCATCATGCAAAAGTTTATAAAGAATTTGCTTTGTGTACTTCATGCTTCGGAAGCATTGCGTTAGGTTGCACACATATTTATCTTTTGAAATAAACACAAGTAATTCATTCAGAAAAAAATATACTATAGCAAGCATAACGAACATGGAGGTGATTTCAACATCGCACATTGTACTAAATAATTTAGATAAATTTAGAGAAACCTATCCAAGCACCCGCAATTCGGCAATCCGCAACATTTTGCCCTATATTTCTATCTGCATTTGCGTAGGTGAATTTCATTCTTTGGCTGAACTACCAAAACAACAAATTGATACGAATTAAGTAAATGAGCCAATTCGATTTTTACTTTGTGTTGTGTACGTGCAAAAAGTATGTTCACCACAATGGTATTCTACTTTTACGTTTTTGGCAAAAAAACTTTGTCAACATCATCATTCTTAGTGGAATTGAACTAGATTTTTTTTTGTGGTTTGACAAATTCGTTGTTAAATTCAACGAGGTGTTGATTTTTTTCTGGACATTTCTGCTTACTATCGAATTTGTTCCACAAAGAATTGTGTATTATTTAAATAGTTATAGAGAGCCAAAACAAGGCTTCAAGTATAAAGTCATGTGCATTATTATTAACAATTATCAAGTAATAATTAGCATGTATAGGAAAACAATTTGTATGTTACGGGATGCTTATGAACTATGATTCTTAGTCTATGATGCGTTCCTGACATAAATGACAAAATAAGTAATAGCAAGGGATTCACTTCACTACAAATAAATATGTACATAAATATGCGCTACAACACAACGCATGTATGTATATCCAGATTTGATATTTTATTCTTGGTAAAGGAAAAAAAAATACTACATGACATGCTTTCATTTAATTTCATAGGGTTAATGCGTCGTTTGAGGCGGTTTTATCATGCGTGGTGTCATTTGTCTTGTGTGAGACCAGATTGAAATTTAAGGTGGATAATTCATCGATTTTTTACCAGATAATACGCGTGCATAATCCCCCAGGTCATGTAGTAAATACATGTGTTTTGGTGTGAGCACAAATGCTGCACCTCGCCAAATCAAGCAAAATATGTATGTACATATGTAACAGAATGGAAAGTAAAGAAACCTATACTGTAATTTCTCATGGGAAATACTGGGAATATCACTTTTCTTCAAGTGATATCGGCTTGATAACTCTTGTTTAGCTTTCCTAGCGATGAGAGCTAAACTGTTTTGTTCGTAATTAGATTAAAATCTGCATGTCATTATCAACTTGGTGCAGTCATTGTCATTGTCACAAGGGTTACATACCTAGCCAGATTCAATAATAATGATTTTTATAATTGAGCATAATGCGATGTTAAATTAAGTATATTGTATGCTCGTAATAATGTTTGTGTTTTATTACTTTCAGATCAGTTCCTGAGCATGTCGCCCTTAATGGAACAAGGTAATGCCCCCATATGCGAAATTTACGATATAGTGTTATGTATATCTAATATTCATTTGTATATTAATTTTTAATTAGTTTTCCGGGGAACAATGACGATAAGGAAAGGGGATACATATGACGAATCCCTGTCTAAACTTGACTCTTCTCTGTTCAAAAATAAGTCTCAAAAGTACAAATCTTTGATTGGTAAGCTACAAAATAAATATATGGAGACCGAAAATCGAAAAATACAACTTCCATAAATCATTTGTCGGATAGATTCCCTATATTCTCAAAGTGTGGTAAAGAATGCTTTCATCGAATCAGAGATTTTAGCATTTGATGGGTAAGCAATAAATGCATACATAAATATTATCAGTCGCTTCATTCATCAATGCTTTGTTTGGTTTTCAGAATCAAGAATGGACCACTCACTGTATACTTTAATTGTAAGTATAGTAGTAAATTGTTGAAATGTATAAATAAAAAATAAGACAAACACTTGCAACAAGTCGTAGAAGTCCACCTTTTATGTCTCAATTTTCGTTAGATTTAAAATGTATCTGAGTCTGTGTTCAAGAAATATATTTACATACCAATAATAATGATATTTCAGTGCATGTGGACACACACCGAATTAGAGTTGATGCTGGGGACCTCTTCATCGTGTTTGCTGATTTCGTAAGAAATGCAAAAGGGATTCTAAATGGAACACTTGTTGTGGATCAGGATTCTCTGGAAATTCAAGGCATCTTATTTACAACACTTTACTTATAATTTCAACCTACGACTTAAAACATATTTATGCATGTATTAATTTTACTATTATTTATTACAAAGAACGAAGTATGGCCTTCCTGTACCTCCCAGCCACGACTGATCGGAACTATGTCGTCATCGAAAGTGGAAATGTCTCCTCTGAAGACTCCACATATATTTCGACACAACGGCCGAGCCTCTTCTCCTCCACGACTCGACACGCCAACAAGCACGAGAAAGTTTCAAAGAAAAGCCAAGCCACTGCCAATGACTTGGGAGAAGTGCTTGATTCGAGCAGTGAGTCCAGTTCCATCAATTCAGTGGATGGAAGTTGCGCCCCGCTGTCCATCGATTTCTGTGTCAATGTGACATCTTCTAAACAACAAAGACATCTGGACGATCTGACCGTATTACAACTCGCTTCAATAGTGGAATCTCAGGTACTGTTTTAAAATGATGCTAGACCATGACTTTAATTGTGGCACTTGGCAATTTAAAAAAGTATGTAAATAGCAATCACCATTATTCAAGTAACAAGAGTAAATCTTTCAAACAGTGTTACCCTTTCGCCGCACATTTCCTTTGCTCATGGGGAGTTGCCTGCCAGAAGGAACAACATTTGGATAATAACGGTCTCCCACTTCTTCCATGCAGAGATTATTGTGATGAATTTATGTCAAATTGTGGACACAAGTTGCCTCGTCAGATTAAGGATAAGCTAAAGTGCGGAGGAGAGTGGAATGGGGTGGGGTCATGCATTACGAAACCAGGTTGTGTCCAATCTTTGTACGAGACTGGGCAGAAACAGAGGATTTGTGATGGAGTAATGGACTGCATGTAAGTCATTGGCATTTATTTTAAAATAATTAGTTAATCGTTAATTGTTTTTCCATCAAGAGAGATTAGCACATTCACTAATTTTATAATACAATAGGCAAATATTTTGATGAAATCTTAAAGTAAATGAATTTATTAAATGAATTTTCAGTGATTTCTCCGACGAATTGCATTGTCCCTACTGCACTCCCGGTCATTTCCACTGCGGTATTTCAAATCAATGCATCTCTCCAGATAAGAAGTGTGACGGAACTATCGATTGTCCAAATAGTAGCGACGAAAAAGCTTGCCGTAAATATAAATATGAATAAATATAATTTTACAAATACATAAATTATATAACAACTTTGTACATTTTTCCCAGTAACGCTCGCTCCGTCCGCTGAAGCAGCTGGATATGTCCACCAATACTTTAACGAAGGCTACCTTTTTGTTCATGACCAAGGAAAACTTGGAAAACTTTGCGTGGAGAGGAATGAATCGCAGTCCAACTCTTTGTGGAGCCAAGACTCGCAACTTTTACTGGACAATATTGGATCGTCCGCATGCGAACTGTTGGGGTTTCGAAAAGTTGCGTTTGTCCGAATTCAACCCGATGGAGAGGCCGAAGATGACAAGGGAAAAGATGTGGGGACCTATGTTAGGATACAGGAACCGGTAGGGAATATCTAGACATTATTATTTGCTATATGCACCATGTGTACATGTTTTATAATAATTCTAATTCATCTTATTTCTCTCCATAAATTAGGGGTCTTCGACGGAGGTCACTTTTTCTGCAGGAACTTGCCCCTCTAAAAAAGTCCTTTATGTGGGTTGTAATCACTTGGGTAATAATTCATAATAATTCAGTTATAGTTGTCTGAATTTGTGCAAACATGAATCATCTCTTCAATTTACTTTTAAAGAATGTGGACAGCGTCCTTCTCACCAACGAAACTCGAAGGGCTGGGCCGGTCATGGGTATACCTCATATACGTTTTTCATATGTTTCAATAATGAATAGTGTCGTTTGTACGAGATTATTGATTGATATAATTTATTCCGTATTTAGGGATTGGCCGTGGCATGCAGGTAATTAGAATTTTACCTTCTGCGACAATAAATAGTTTCATGTACGAATGTAGCCAAATGTACTTTTACAAAGAAATTGGGCATATCCAACAAGTCCACTAAAAATTTCCTCAATTCTTCCAACTTGCTTCATATTACTCATAAATTCCTTTCAATTCTTTAGTAAAATTCTGAAAATCCCCATCACTTCCTTATTTTTGTAGCCCTCTTCAAAGACGGAGACCATGTTTGTGACGCCACGCTCGTGACTTCGCAGTGGTTAATCACTTCAGACAATTGTTTCAGTGGGCAATCTAAAGCAAGATGGACTGTGCATTTTGGTAGGGTCAGGATGAGGTAGGCACTTACTCATGAGTTTTATTATGCGTACTTTTCTCATCAAATTTGTAATGGTCCTTATGTATGTTTGCCCAACAGCACCGTGTCCCCGTGGCAGCAGGAACGACGTGTCGTGGGAATGGTCAAGTCTCCTCTTGGGGATCATCTCGTCCTCATCAAAATGGCATCACCTGTCATTTTCTCCGATTTTGCTCGACACATTTGTCTGCCGGATGAACCCGAAGGCCGAACAGGTTTAGGATTTCCTTCTTGGGAGAAAATACCCAGTAATTGTAAAAGACTTGGGTGGAGTAAAGGAGGTACGACTAATATTATCAGGAATTGCTCTAACCTGTTTCATTTTAAGTTTACTAAAGTGTGCAATTACTTTTCAGATGAATTAGTAGAAACACCAATGCATCAGTTGAGTCAAGAATCTTGTAACCCAATCCCATTTAGTAGGCAGAAGAAATCTCCTATAAGTCCCAAACCGTCCGCCCTTTGTTTCGAAAATGACCCTCCCGGACGTGACTGCTTAAAAGAGATTAAAGTATTTCCAGGAGGAGCAATCTACTGTCAAAATGAGGAAACCAAGGAGTGGGCATTGGCTGGGATTGTCCCCACCGATTCCAGACCTAAATGTGGCATAGAAAAACAAAGGGTCTCCGCCATTGGGGGCAGCACAGATTGGATTCTAAAAACTATCGAAGCTCTCACCAATAATTCCTAGTGCAACCACACTATTCGTTCATTTCACATTCCACAAAGGGCTCAAATTAATATTATTCACTACTTTTCAATTTAAATTGTTCTCTATATGCATGCAATAACTTCATTTAAAGAACTACATGGGTCCCCCCCATGAGCGATATTTTAACTTGTGTGTTTATTTAATTCTTAAAATTTGAATGTGAGAATTGTTAGTCCTTTTAAATGAATCTTTATCGTCGTAAACTTTTATGGGGTTTTTTACCATTTTTATCCTGGTCAATTAAGAGTTGTATTACACATAGTGTTTAGTAAAAGTAGGTATTAACAAATATTTGACGACGAGGTGTACTTACGATTAGTTTAATCTTAAACATGCGAAAACGATGAGCGGTATTATTTTCTACGTCTGTTTGCAATTTTGTACATTAATAAACTGTATATAGTACATAGTAGTGGTTAATTAATAATTATTATCGAATTTCTTATTAAAACATTTTGAAATGAAAATTTAAAAATGTTCTATATGCAATTATTATACAGGAATGACAATAAAGCATTTAATTAATTATGAATTGATGCCTTTTGAGTCTCTTACTTTCAACCAGCGTCTTAAACACCTGCGAGCTGAACCAGCCCAACCGTTTCACAAACGCAGTTTCCATTATTTAGCGAAAGGCAGAGTGAGACTCGGATTCTGGTGGGTATCCACCACCACGGCTGACTGTCGTTGCCAGTGCCGTATGGTGGTCCGTCTCACTTCTCACTCTCTTCAAATTGTTTACCGGGATTATGAACCAACTCGTGTTGAGATGCTTTTCATCTCTTACACGAGTTGGTTCAGTTGATAAATCGTTGAGCTTAAGTTTTAAATTTGGGGCGAATTGGACAAACTAAATTTGCTTATCTTAAAAACTGATAAGCGCAGTGATAAGCCCGATAGCGTTTATTTTCGAGTGGATACTACCATTATATATTCAGATAAGCTTAAGTTTTAAATTTGGGGAGATTTGGACAAACTAAATTTGCTTATCTTAAAAACTGATAAGCGCAGTGATAAGCCCGATAGCGTTAATTTTCGAATGCATATCATCATTATAAATTCAGAAAAGCTTAAGTTTTAAGTTTGGGGCGATTTGGATAAACTAAATTTGCTTATCTGAAAAATTGATAACTTCGTTGATAAGCCTCATAGCGTTAATTTTCGAATGCATATCATCATTATAAATTCAGAAAAGCTTAAGTTTTAAATTTGGGGCGATTTGAGGCTGTTTTAATAGCTTCTATGTAATTACCTTTATGTATATCATAAATACCTATACATTGTTACGGCTCCTGCCGTATAAGCCCCTCCCTCAGAAACTTTGACCCCAAAAAAGTCATGGTAGCGGTCATTTCGCAGCGGACAACAAAAGCGGAAAATGTGGCACTTCTGACGAAGAAAAATCTGGCATCAGGTTGTCAGCCGCGAAATGACCGCTAAGGTCACTTTTTTAACGATTTATATGTAGGTCGAAAAACCGCCAATTTTCGAATTTTGAAAGTCTTGATGCATCAAAATGTTCATATTCATGAGGGAAGTCAAATGTCAAATGCAAGTTGGTATCTACTTCTTTCTGTACCGAGTGTACATTGACCTTCTCATTTTTCCCAATTTTCTTCCCCAATTTTTGAAGGGGGTGTGGTTGAATATAATTCAAAAACAGCTATGCTATATTAATCCCCCCACCCAAAACTGAATTTGTAATTTTTTATGTGCAATTTGGTGAAATCGATGCGAAAAAGACTTGCACTTTTGGCTCATTTTGTACCCTGCACGAAATTAGTGCATAAAAATGTTTTTAAACATTTAATGACGCCCTCAAAAATCCGGAAAAGTGCATGAAAATGCACGAAACTCGTTTACCTGCAATTACTATTGTAATATTGCAATTTTTCTCAATATTCGATTAATTAAGAAATAGTTCTGCTATTGTATTACATTTTTCTCATTAATTTAGTATTTTAGTGGCAAACTACATATTTTCCATTTTTCAATATGAAAAATGAATAAAAGTTTTTAAAGACGGCAGAATTATAACTCGAAGGCTGTATTTTTTTACAAAATAAATCTATGATTCTATTTTATTTCCGAGTAATTTCGTGTTATTCGATACCAAATTGCAAGTAGAAGTTTAGATAACTGAATATTACACCCATTTGATAGGGTAGCAAAATATATATAATTTCTTGAAAATATGAAATCCCATGCATACATAAATTGCATTTCATTTATTTTTATGCATTTTTATGCATTTTTGTACATTTTTATGCACCATGCGTAGATAAAAATAATTTCGTGTGCACAAAAAGCAGCACTGCTTCCAACTCTTTCCTTATCTGTCATCGGATTTCAAGTCGATCGGATATTTTATGCGATTTATCATACTGACTGATGGAGATGACGATTTATATATAACCCCCGATTCTAGGTAAAAATTGACATTTGAGCAATGACTTGGATTGCCAAGTAGCCAGAAAAATCGACCACGATAATGGAAACAATTGCTAGCTCGATTCGTCAAAAAGGTGACGCTTGCATTACGGAAGCGTCCTTTGCAATCCTTATCAGTGTGCAATCGGTGGTTTATTTGTACTCATAGCCTGCGCTTAATCATCACGTATGTAAGAATAAAGTTTAGATTTTACATGTGGAACCAGAATAAGTATTTATTCATATCTTTAAAATTTATGAAGAGATAATTAACTCGGGACGACTTTTGAAAATTTTGAACCAATTGAATTAGCAAAAAAAAGTCCACATAACACGCAAGCACTACCGAATAGAATTTAATTAATATGACGCGTCGTCGTAATTGGTGTACATGACTTGTGATCAATAATTCAATTGTTGGAAGTCAACCCTGACTCGGGCTTTATGAACGCTGGCCACGCACTGCAGGTTTATAATTTGATTAGTGAGACTTATTCGTGGCATGCAACCGTCATCGACGTAAATTCATTGTTATCTTAGCTCGAGGGATACGTCCTGAAAGAGGAACGCTTGTTTGATGCAGGAATGACTGCATGGATTGCATAGATGATATGACAGGAGGTCGATGATAGGCAACCCAACAACAATAGGATCGAATGGCATCGAATCTCGCCGAGGCATAGCAACGACGAGCTGCTTGTTCGGCTGAGCACATGAACATTCGAATTTTATCTCAGGCAGCAGACGACTAGACGTGGCTGAGTTTACTCTTTTTGTTGACTAACCCATTGCACGGAGAGTTCAGTTCTGCTCTGGCTACAGGGCAAGTAGTACCGTCTCAAAACGCGTCTCCCTGCACCACCTTTCGAAACTAGCGTTTGCTAACCGTTTATGGTTATCCCGTGAAGTGATAGATTAACCTGACACCCTGTTCTGCAGATGCGGCGAGATACTCGGCTGCAATTGGTGTCCTCATACTCGAGTTGAATTGGCATATGTGCAAATGTACGTACGTACATGAAAATCTGTGCTAAATAATAATTGCGGTTTTATAGACACATACATACGCTTTACCAAAAACAATTCTTTGTCTTGTAAAAAAATGTGATTTCCTCCTTAAAAAGCATGTAGAAACTTTTTTCTGGATATTTCTCACCGTCGTAGCATTTGTATGTCAGTACCTTTAAAAGAATGTGACCATTACATATTCATGTATTAACATGTAACTCCTGGAAAATGAGTATGTTTAAATAAATTTATTTGTGCTGTTAGAAAGTAAAAATGTACTTTCAGTTTGTTTGTTGAAATCGAATTTCTTTAATTGCTGTTCAATTCTACCTTAAAAAGTAAATGGATTCAGCAATTGGATGGGATTTGGAGTATAAACCTATTAACTTGTTGTAAGTACTCTCCACTCATATCTTATTTATACTTCTTATTGCTTTGCATGTAATGTTGGCAAATAATAAAGGATGATTATTTGCCTGTTCACAATTTCGTTCATATCAAGTGTTGATGTGATTTAGATTAAGAATACTCATCATTTGATTAGTTACCTTTTTCTTGATGTTTCAATGATTTCACTTTCATCTTCAAATCCAAGTCAAGTGTGAATGAACGTTAGGTACGTACGCATGTCAGAATACTTGCATTATTTCTCATTGAGCCAGGTTATTGTACATGCATTTTTGCATTGCTGCATGAAAGATGCATAAGATTTATTCTAAGCACTACTCGAATAATCTCTCTTCGTCATCGTCCTTTCGATCCATGCGAGCGAAGCACTGCATTTTAAAATCGTTGTATTGTATCAATCATGAGAAACTCCACAACTTTTGGCTACGTGCACCACCGCCTCGATTTATTTAAGTATGTACGAGGTGCAGAACAATGAATCAATTTTCTGGTATGAAATTAAACTGAGTCTCTGTAAACCACGGATGATGGTCACAGTAAAAAATATTGGAAAGTTATCGATGTTTTGCTTTCAGTAATACTGCCGGCCGACCATGTTGCTCGTTAGCTGTGTCAAATGGCAAATACTCGGCATAATTCTTTCCATGTAATGCAATAACTGCATTTGAATACACATGCACTCGTAAATAAGTAATGGCTGGTTTGGATGGTGTGATATGATCAAATCTATTTACGTAATAAAATTGGTGGTCCATCTTTGGAGCCAGTCAATGGGGGGTGGGAGTGGTGGTGGAGGTTATTCATTTTAAGGATGCGGCATTGTTTTGTATCGACTCTTGATGTTTCCCAGAACCCCAGTTAACTCGGTGGACAAAGAGTCGGAATGATGGGATTTTGGGTAGAGTTGTATTGGGAAATAAGGGCTCAACAATGGAAATATATCTATTGCGTCGACAATTAGTCCAGCTTCTAATTTTGGGAAGTCTGGTCCAGACCTGGTTCTTCCGCTGGAGTGCCATGTATGGAAGTATATACACGAAAGATAAAGAAGATTAACCTTCCTTTCGCTTGGTTGAAGTCAGCAGGGAATAAAAGTGATCACGAGAAACAAAAATAGCCATTTTCTGTAGTGTAAGCCCACTTGACGAATTTCTTGTTTCGGATGCTTTTGTATGTAGCCGTTATTGACTTTGCAAAGTCGTTGCTCGTTATCCGAAATAACGTAGAGACATGATGGCAAAATTTTAATTTCCAAAAATCTAAGTAGGGCATGAAATGCATCGAACATAATTAAATCAACATGTAATTGCTCCCCAAGCTAAGTATTTATTTCCTTCTTGTGTTCCAATAAATTTCAAACCAAGTACAACCGTACTTACCTACAACTAAATACATGCATATGCAAAATCCAAGTGAAATTTTGCTACTTTTAGAGATGGAAATAAGTAATAAGTATTACTATCCACCCATCCATCCCAGGTTCTCGTCTTGTACATACAAATGCGTCAACTTCTGTCAAGAAGATTCGCTGTATTCCATTTCAACAAACCACTTTAATCTTCAGAAGGAGCAAGACTCTTCAAGACCACAAAGTGTTTACTCATTGTCTTAAACTAATATGATTTTGAACCCTAAAATGTTGACTAAAACGAGATTTTATAGCAAATGCTGAGAGTTGTTGAAAATTAGATTAGCCCGAATGAGATCACTACTTAATTTGCCCACCTTGCTGGGGTTTGGTTATATGTATCAAGTTATATGTGTACCTATAAATCCGCAGATACTGGTTTGGCCAAATGGCCATTAAACGAGTCCCACCACACCCCACGTAGGAGTATAAATAAAATATATGCAAAACTAACTATAACAGCCAGAAGCCCTATTTCAAATTTGCATTAAATTTGCCATCCAATAAAAAGCAAGACGCGGAATCGTCCTTTGCAAACCCAGGAGTTGGCTTGTGGCACAATAATGGAAATGTGATGCGAGTCAGGTGCTCCGTCTCTCTGGCAGTCAAACCGATTGGTGGGTTTGTGTTCCAATTGTCTAATCTCATCTCCATTCAATTCTTCAACCTGAGTCATTTACCCCGTCCGATCCTGCTAATTTTGCAAAATGCAGTGTGCCTTTTGGTAGTACGGGTCGGTATTCCCGTTCTCCTTCTTCTTCTTCGTCTGCAGGTCCGTCGGATGAGAGATGTTCGGTATTTGCTGCGTATGTACATAGCAGCTCTTCTATTGTTCGCCTTGTCGGAATTGCACGTTCCCCATTTTGTTTTGCAGACATTTAATCATTTCTGTCTTATGCGACCATTGCAAATCAGATATATTTAACTTGCTCCCTTAAACGGCATGGTCGTTAGTTGTGGTATAAAGAAGAAGAAGAAAGCTATATGACAGCATGTTAAAATGATTAATGAAATCTTAGCCCAGCCGGTTTCCACCTTATTGCGTACTTGCTTATGAACGCTCCATACATGGCAGTTCTTCTCTGATATGCACTGCAGGCAGGTACATACGTATGTAGTAGCTCGATGCTTGGGTTGCGTATGGGTTGGCAAGATGGAAGCGGATTCATCAGCCGAGATTAAAATGTGCGAGTTGTTCGGGGTCAAATATCTCTCTTGCAGAGTTGCACGAAGGCAAATAAGCGGTTTTGCATGGATCTGGTTTGTTAATTTCACTCTTCTCCTCTCACTCTTATTTTAAACAGTAGTTTTAAAGTTCATCCAACACGTAAATCCTGATGATCTCCTGCACGTTAATCACAACACGTTTGAATCTTTGGATTGTGAGCATCCAGCATCTGCAGCTAGCTACGCCTTTCTGTTTCAATTATTGATTTTACCTCGAATTGGGGGAAAACAAGCTCAAAGAATCTGGAGAAAGCACGTACGAGTAAGCCACAGAATAAATAGTGAATAAATAGCTTCCGTTATTCTTGGCAAATGGAAAAGGATTTGAATGATGATATGCTCCATGTAAAGGAACAGATGAAATGTTCTTGTTTGACGTCAACGGATCATTTGCAATTTCAATAAAGTATTTTTTCAAGATTAATCATGTGTGTTTTTGGTTTACTCTTTTATGCGGCATTGGATTGGGTGCAGGGTTTGTACGGAGAGAGACAAAGCACACATTCCGAGCCCATGAACTGGAGAAAGTTTAATGCAAAAGTGAGTAAGAAGACGGGAAGAAAGGCATGCGCGCACTTTCTCCACTTTCTCTCCACAGAGTAATACTTGATGGTGCGGGATGAGAGTGGTTGCTGCTCCTGCTGCTGGTCCTCGTCGTGGTGGGCCAGATAGACAGATAGATAGATAGACAACCCGCATGTATGTATGGAAGTATGTATATCTCATTTTGCACCAATTTCTTCCGTCTCTTGTTACTGACCAGACCCAGCTTCCGTCTGAATTACCACCACCACCACCACTCCTTTAAAGAAGTGCTCATTCGCCTCTCAGAATTCAATATTGGTCGTCCTTTCACCAGCACTTTCACTCAACTCCTCAGTCGGCTGGACTCCTAATGACATCAATGATCAATCAAATCAAAGAAAATTATCCGAGTCATACACGTATGAGAGGCGCATCACATTCGTCTTCGTTCTGTGTGTGAGGGGAGATTGGGAGGCAAGGACAGAGGTAAATTAAATTGTGCCACTTCAATATCTCGAAGCCTGACGTCTCGATCCTCTCCAGAGGTTCTCTCTCAGAAAAAGGTGCAATGTCTCAAAAGAAATGGTTTAAACTTTGTAAGTAGGTCTGAAAAAGTTTAAAATTGTTTTAGTCACACTTTCTTCTTTCTTCCATCCAGAAATCTTACAACTTTGTTTACATTTCTCCACTTTGTCATCTCCTCGTTCGGGAAGTCTGGAGAACTTCCCCCGTTACATGTTGTACGTATATTCTCCATTGTTCCCCTATTTGTTTGAATGGGAATAAAAGAAAGTTACAATGCATGTGTAGGAAGTTCATGGTAGGACGAAACATCATAGCCCCGAAATGAGTCTCGGGTTCGGATATTTGTACATATTTACATATTATGAATGTGTGCTCAATGTAGTAAAATATCAACGTGCAGTACGGTGAACAACAGAAATTTGTGTGCATTCTTCTCATTTCCGCCGTCGCGCTTTATCGCATCTCGAGCTAACTTACCATGCAAAAAAATCAATCAATTTTTAAATGCAGAATGCAGAAAGTTTGGTTGTTGCGATAACTTTAACTTTGCAATTAAAATAGACGCCGATTATGGCTTTTAAGCACTATTACGTTTCTTTTAGAAGTAAGCCAACAAAATATAGAATACTTTAAACTGCCAAACAATTGATGCGTTATTGTCAAAATTAATAGGGAGGTAATACAATTTGAATCTATAAGCAACGTGAACTTTAGACTAATTGCATTTTCACAAAATGTCAGGGTTCTGTAACTATTTTAGGTCATCAACTAATAAATATGTACGCCATCAAAACCGATCAATATGCACATAAATATATACGCATGCACATAATGTATTCTCTGTATACTTATTTAATTAAAGCGTACTACATCGTTGTACTGCATGACTTGCTTGTCAATAAATTAATACGAAATGTCCTAAACCATGCATGCAAGCTAAATAATTTACCAACTTATAAGGATAATTTTCGGGACACGATACAAAATCCAGAAAGTATTTCACATATAAAGCAGATGGAACATTTTTATGTATTATTATTATTAATCTTTCATGCTATGTTTATAGAAATCAAGTAAAAATATAGTTTAATGTATCACTGCTCCACCAGAGTGCTGGTCAATTTAAAACTGGAAGAAACTATAAATAGCCAACATTTGCTCGTGTGATTGACATGTTAGCAAAACTTTTTCCTCGTCCTTTTTCCATTGATCAAGTTAGTGGGATAAGAGAGCATCAATGCATATTATCAAATTCAAGTGATCACTAATGATCTCTCTAAACAATCACAATGCACGTAT